ACTTTGGGAGGCCAAGGCGGGCAGATCACTTGAGTCCAGGAGTTTGAGACCAGCCTGGGCAACATAGCAAAACCCCATCTCTACAAAAAATACAAAAGTTAGCTGGGTGTAGTGGTGCATGCCTGTAGTCCCAGCTACTTAGGACGCTGAGGGGAGCAGATCTCTGGAGCCCAGGAAGCAGAGGCTGCAGTGAGCTGTGATCATGCCACTGCACTCCAGCCTGGGCAACAGAGTGAGATCCTGTCTCAAAACAAACAAACAAACAAATGAACTTTCTTTTCATTTAGACTCTTCTCGGCGTTGGGGACCTATTGGAATAGGTGTAGTGTGAACTGAGGGCTAGAAGTGGTGGAGGAAGAGAAGAGAGGGAGGGAACAGAGCCTACTGGAGCAACTGCCCTTCCTACCTTATCATTGCATGCCAGGCGCATGCTGGCGCTTCAGTCCTCAGTTCATTCTTGACTGCCACCTGAGACGTGGTTACTAGCTCCATTTTACAGGTGGTGAAACTGAGGCTTGGGGAAGGTCAGACCCCAAGGGTGCCATTTAGTCAGTGCCAGAGCCAGATCCAAATGCAGGTCTCCTGACTCCAAGTGCAGGGCTCATTTTATCAGCCGGTTGCAGCAGGCTGGCGGCCCCTTGAACCCCAACCTGGATGCCATGTGGGAGGAGCAGAGAAGCCAGGAACACCACAGCCCTGGGCCAAAGTGCGGAACTGAAAGAACTTCCCAGCGCTCAGCCTGGGACTAGTGGAATGGGCTGGACCCTGGGGCTGGTGGTGGCGGGCCCAGGGAGCCTGGGAATGAGTGGGGAGCACAGGCAGGTGTGGGAGGGCCTGGGAACCATGAAAAGAAGGGCGGGTTCAGGGAAGTTGCCCACTAGTGAAGTGGCGAGGGGGCCCTGTGGGACTCCAGGGAATAGCCGTGGCAGGTTGTCATCCAGAAGCTGAGGGCCATTGGACATGGCAGCTGCCTGTGTTCTCAGCCACCACAGAAACCAAAGAAATCTGGGTTTAAAAATTCAAGTTGCCATAGAAACGCTCCCATCCTCGACTTGGCTTATTATTTAAAATAACATCTCTACAGCACAAAAGCCCCCGGAGACATCCGAGGACACTCCTGTCTGCCCACGAGACACGCTCACCTCACAGTGTGGAGGCTGTATGGGTCGCTGACACGCAGGACCACGTGAGATGCTGCCTACCCACAATTCACGGAAAAGGGGAAGATTATTAAGAAAGTTGCTAGGGGCCAGGTCCAGTGGCTCATGCCTGTAATCCCAGCACTTTGGGAAGCTGAGGCAGTCAGATCCCTTGAGGCCAGGAGTTCGAGACCAGCCTGGCCAACATAGCGAAACCCTGACTATACTAAAAAAAACCAGACGTGGTAGCACAGGCGTGTAATCCCAGCTACTCAGGAGGCTGAGGCACAAGAATCCCTTGAACCTGGGAGGTGGAGGTGTCAGTGAGCCAAGATTGCGCCTCTGTACTCCAGCATGGGCCACAGAGCGAGACTCCTGTCTCAAAGTCACCAGGGAGGAAGCCTCATTGGTGGGAAGGAAGACCAAATTGGAAATGCTGTGAGGAATCATTAAACCAAATGTCCTTTTATCAGTTTGGTGGCTCAGGGCCTTTAGTAACACCGCCAACTATTTTTCCTAGAAGAAACGAAACTGAAGTAATAGGAACATAATCACTTTTTCTTTTTTTCTTAAAAGTAAGAGTATGTTGTGGAAAAAAAAGTCTTCCCACTGTAGTGACCGACAACTGTACATCGTCCTCGGCATTTTGCGTGTCGTAGCAGGAGTGTGCCTGCATGTGAAGATTGTTGAGAGGGTCAGACGCTTATGGTCCTCGGTCACCCACAGCTTGCTTTTTCCCCACTTAACACTGGGACTTGGGCATTTTTACTTTGTTAGTACAATAGAATTTACTTCAACTAGCTGCTTTTTTATTTTTATTTTATTTATTTATTTTATTATTATTTTTAGACGAAGTCTCTATCTGTTGCCCAGGCTGGAGTGCAGTGGCGCAATCTCAGCTCAGTGCAACTTCCGCCTCCTGGGTTCAAGCAATTCTACTGCCTCAGCCTCCCAGGTAGCTGGGATTACAGGTGTGAGCCACCACACCTGGCTCATTTTTGTATTTTTAGTAGAGATGGGGTTTCACCATGTTGGCCAGGGTGGTCTTGAACTCCTGACCTCAGATGATCCGCCCACCTAGGCCTCCCAAAGTGCTGGGATTACAGGCATGAGCCACCGCGTTCGGCCTATTTTTATTTTTATTTTTTTTAATTTTTGAGACGGAGTTTTGCTCTTGTTGCCCAGGCTGGAGTGCAATAGTGCAATCTCGGCTCACTGCAACCTTTGCCTCCCGAGTTCAAGCAATTCTCCCGCCTCAGCCTCCCAAGTAGCTGAGATTGCAGGCATGCGCCACCATGCCTGGCTAATTTTTTTGTATTTAGTAGAGACAGGGTTTTCACCATGTTAGTAAGGCTGATCTTGAACTCCTGACCTCAGGTGGTCCAACCACCTCGGCTACAGGCATGCGCCATGGTGCCTGGCCAACTAGTTGCTTTTTTAATGGTTGCTTCATATTCTATTTAACCACTTACTATAATTTAACAATTACTCTGTTACTAGATACTTGCTTCATTTCTGGTCTTTTGCTAATGCAAAAATTATTTAGTGAGCACTCCTGTGCATGTATCTTTGCATTTTGTGGGATACATTTCTAAATGTCAGGTTGCCGAGTCCCAGGACATGCAGATTTAGAAACTGGTGGGTGTTGCTGTATATCAAGGAAAGGAAGCCTAAAGTATATGTTAGTACTGCTTTGTCAGTTTTTGTTTTAAAGAGACTTTTCAGTTTAATGCAAGCATTTTCCTTTGAAGGCTATGTTTTCTGTCAATCCTAGGCTTTCCTCCAGCATTACTTTAAAAAAAAAAAACTTTATTTTCTTTAGAGATGGGGTCTCACTATGTTGTCAAGGCTGGTCTTGAACTCCTGGTCTCAAGTGATCCACTTGCCTTGGCCTCCCAAAGTACTGGGGTTACAGGTGTGAGCCACCGCACCCGGCCCATTTTTAAAAGGGCATTGATTTTTTTCATAAAACCTTTATAATTAAGATCTGTGGGCCGGGCACAGTGGCTCACACCTGTAATCCCTGCACTTTGGAAGGCTGAGGTGGGTGGATCATGAGGTCAGGCATTCGAGACCAGCCTGGCCAACATGGTGAAACCTTGTCACTAAAAATACAAAAATTAGCCGGGTATGGTGGCATGCGCCTGTAATCCCAGCTGCTCAGGAAGCTGAGGCAGGAGAATCGCTTGAACCCAGGAGGCGGAGGTTGCAGTGAGCCGAGATCATGCCTTTGCGCTCCAGCCTGGGTGACAGAGCAAGACTCCATCTCAAAAGTCTGTGTTGCATGTGGTACTTTTTGTGTGTGAGGAGTCCAGTGTGAAGATTCAGCCTTCAGGCAGCCACTTGTACAAGCACTGTCCTGTTTCGTCTCTGGCCTCACCTAGGTACGCTGATTCCTCCATGGAGGAGGTGCTTCCGAGCGGTCTGTTGGGTGCTCTGCTGATGGGCATCACCCAGCATTTTATGATACATTTGCTGCCCCAGAGGGCCGGGCTCCCATCAGAGCTACTTTCCACTGGCTGAGTGCGGTGGCTTATCCTTGTAATCCTAGCACTTTGGGAGGCCAAGGCCGGTGGATCACCTGAGGTCAGGAGTTTGAGACCAGCCTGGCTAACATGGCAAAACCCCATTTCTACTAAAAATACAAAAATTAGGTGCATGTGGTGGTGCACACCTGTAATCCCAGCTACCTGGGAGGCTAAGACATGAGAATTGTTTGAACCTGGGAGGCGGAGGCTGTAGTGAGCCAAGATCGTGCCACTGCGCCCCAGACTGGGTGACAGAACAAGACCCTGTCTCAAAAAAAAAAAAAAAAAAGAACTTTTTTTCCAGAGCCGTCTTGCTGTCCTCATATATTTATTCTCCCAGATGAATTCTTGCTTAAGCAACAATGCAGTTTAAATTGTTCTTCAGATAGAATCCACAACTTCAGATAGTTCCAGTCAGTTTGTTAAGCACTGACACCACAGTCCTGTGACTTTCATGTTGACCTGTGACCTGTGGGAGGTAGAGCACCTCACTCACCCGCGGAAGCCCCTGGAGTGAGGGACAGGAGCCCCTGCCTCACCCATCTCCCCACGCTGCGGTTCTCCCCAGCCCTGGGTGCAGGCACCCAGGAGACATGTATTGATTTTGTTGAGCTGCTTGCTCAGGAAGGTGACTCAGAGTTCAAGCTGGAAAGCACTGGCTTGTGACTCATGAGCCAGTCCCAGATCAAAGGGCTGAGGCATCAAGGTGAGAATTTTCCTTCCCAGAAGCCTCATCTCTGCAGCCGGAAGCAGAGCCCTTGGCTGACTGGAAAAACCAGAGAGGCCCCGGGAGTGGGTGGATGGGCAGCCCAGCCCCACCTCTCAGCCTCCACCTCGACCGGCCCACACCAAGCTTGTTTGTCTGTGTCCTGTCAAAACTAGGTCTCCTGTCTTTTCTTACATTTCTTTTCTAACTTTTCTTACATTTCCCTGTCCCATGGGTGTTCCACTTAGGGCGTAATGACACAGACAGGCTCTTCACTGTTTCATATCACTTACTTGGGCAGGTCTCTCAAGCTGTTCCACAAATCCATGCAAAGGCCGTTTAAAACTAGTGGAGCAGGTCCTGGACTCGGTCTAGTCCAGCACAGCCCCTTGGCTTTCTCTCCTGGCTCTGGCCGCCTGGCCCCTGGGGACACACACGAGGTCATGGCATGCTGCAGGCACCAGGGCAGGGAGGCGGGGAGCCCATGGGCGCCTCAGCTCCTCAGAGGTCTCCGCCTGGGCCAGGACGAGCACGGGGGTCCACTGATGCCTGAGACGGTGCCCGTGTGTGGGTGAGCCTTTGACCCACATAACAGAGAGGTGTCCTGATGCCCTCTGTCCTCTCCAGGTGGATCTAGGATCCGGCTTCCAACATGTGGCGGCTCTGGGCCTCCCTCTGCTGCCTGCTGGCGTTGGGCGATGCCCGGAGCAGGCCCTCTTTCCATCCCCTGTCGGATGAGCTGGTCAACTATGTCAACAAACGGAACACCACGTGGCAGGTAGGCTGTGGGGCTGCGTCCTACGTATGTCCCCTCCCAGGTCGGTCTGTGCACACTGACTCCAGGGATGGGGAGCTGACTCACTGTGGCCCGCAGAACATTATGTCCTGGACCGTTGAGGAACAGCCCTGACCCCGAGTCACAACGGCTCTGGACCACACCTGCCTCCTCTGTCCCATACCCCGTATTTGTGCATGAGTGTGTGTGCATGTGTACGAATGTATGGTTGTGTGCACGCGGAGGTGCGTGGGGGAGTAGGTGAGCTTTGGAAGTGTTCAAAACCAGCTAGCCCCTGTGACGCCTGCCGTGGCAGAGTGGCAGTTCATCAGTCCTGCCCCTGATTCCCTTTGTCTCTGTCCAGCTCTGACCCTGGGACTGAGAACCAGGAATGAGGAGTGAGCCATGTTGAGGGCCGGAGAGGGTCTCTGATTGTCAGCAAATGGGAGCAGATCAGGGGAGACACCCACTCTGCCTGTGTGTCACTCTGGGCTGTTCCCCACTGCCCCCAACCCTCGTGCCCTCGAGCTGGGTAGGGCCCCTGGCTTTCCCTGGGTTGGGCCTGGTGTGTGGGCAGCGTGCCCATCCACCACTATCCCAGGAAACCCCTCAGTCAGTGGGTGACTCTCTTCCAGGCCGGGCACAACTTCTACAACGTGGACGTGAGCTACTTGAAGAGGCTATGTGGCACCGTCCTGGGTGGGCCCAAGCCGCCCCAGAGGTGAGTGCCCGCTCCTCCGCACCACTGTAATGTGAGTGGCGGGCGTTGGTTTGGGGCAGTGGGAAGTGGGAGAGTGAAGGCCTCTCTGGCATCCGCAGGGCTCATGCCACCCAGGGCTACCAACACCGCTTGAGGTACAGCGCTCATCTCTTTTCATTTTTGTATTATTTACTTTTTATTTTATTTTTTCCTTCTCAAGTTATTAGTAGAGAAGATGCTGGTGCTTTCTTTTGTTTTGGGGAGGGTCTCTCACTCTGTCACCCAGGCTGGAGTGCAGTGGCGCCATGTTGGCTCACTGTAACCTCTGCCTCCCGGCTTCAAGCGATTCTCGTGCCACAGCCTCCTGAGTACCCGGGGCCACAGGCTTGCACCACCATGCCCAGCTAATATTTGTATTTTTAGTGGAGACTGGGTTTTGCCATATTGGCCAGGCTGGTCTCAAACTCCTGGCCTCAGCAAGTGACCTGCCCCTGTCGGCATCCCAGAGTGCTGGGATTACCAGCATGAGCCACCCCCAGTGTTTTCTGTTGCGCTTCTCCAAGGTATCTCAGCCCTAGGTGTGACAGACTAGGTCTGGGTCTCCACTATGTGGGCAGACTCAATCTTGAGTAATTTAAGGAAAATCTAAGAAAAGCCAGATGAGGCCAAATACAGTGGCTCTACTAAAAATACAAAAATTTGCCAGGCATGGTAGCGGGCGCCTGTAATCCCAGCTACTCAGGAGCTGAGGCTGGAGAATCGCATGCACCCGGGAGGTGGAGGTTGCGGTGAACCAAGACCGCGCCACTTCCCACGTGAGGATGAGGTAGTTAAGTTGCGGGACACTCCCTTCTGCACAATGGGGATGATGTGAGAAATGATGAGAGGATCCTGGGCAGATGTTGAGGCAGGAGAGCAGGGCAAGAAACACTATCTGGACTGGATAAACTCTTTTAAAAAATCCATTACATAAGCCTAGAAAGAAGCATACAACATCGCAAGTCAGACCAGGCATGGTGGATCACGCCTGTAACCCCAGCACCTTGGGATGCCGAGGCAGGCAGATCATTTGAGGCCAGGAGTTTAAGACCAGCCTGGCCAACATGGTGAAACCCCATCTACTGAAAATACAAAAATTAGCCGGGCGTGCTGGTGCATGCCTATAATCCCAGCTACTCAGGAGGCTGAGGCACCAGAATCACTTGAACTCAGGAGGCAGAGGTTGCAGTGAGCAGAGATCTCACCACTGCACTCCAGCCTGGACGACAGAGTGAAATTCTGTCCGGCCCGCCCCCCATCCCCAAAGAAGAAATCGCTAGTTGCATTGAGCAATAGAATTTCCCTTGGTTTTGTGAAAGTCCCAGGGACACCTGCCTGCGCCTTCTCCTGCGTGTCTTGTTGTGCTCACTTCCTTTCTAGGGGATTGTGGCCCAGCCACAGTGACTGCTCTTAAACCGAGTGGCCTTTGCAGGGACTGGGGAGGGAGCTGTGGGATGAGAGCTTGTAATGAAGACCTTCCTTTATCCAGAGTTATGTTTACCGAGGACCTGAAGCTGCCTGAAAGCTTCGATGCACGGGAACAATGGCCACAGTGTCCCACCATCAAAGAGATCAGAGACCAGGGCTCCTGCGGCTCCTGCTGGGTAAGGCCCTGCTGGCCGGCGGGGGAAGGGCTGGAGAGAGAGGAAGCAGCAATGGGGAGTCTTGGGGGATTCGGGGTGGGGACAACTCTGACAAGGCAAGTTATAGAAACTTTCTGAGTCCCAGTTTCCATCAATACAAACATCACAATCTCTCTGGCCATGAATTATGGCAAGGGTTAGGCAGAGTGGCGGGCAGAGCATCCTGCAGATTGCAAGTCCACATCTATGGGTGGCAAAGCAGCTCCCTTCCCCTGACACGCTGCCCCGTCCACAAATACCAGGAGCTCTCACCGCTACTCTGCTTCAAGAAAGCGTCCCTTTAGTGTCAGCGAGCTGTCTTAATTTTGTCACTTAATTGTGGTAAAATACACGTAACAGAAAATTTAATAATCTTAGCAATTTTCTTTTCTTTTTATTTTTATTTCTGGAGATGGAGTCTTGCTCTGTCACCCAGGCTGGAGTGCAGTGGCATGATCTCGGCTCACTGCAACCTCTGCCTCCTGGGTTCAAGCGATTCTCCTGCTTCAGCCTCCCCAGTAGCTAAGACTACAGGCGTGTGCCAGCACACCCGGCTAATTTTTGTATTTTTAGTAGAGACGAGGTTTTGCCATGTTGGACAGGCTGGTCTCAAACTCCTGACCTCAGTTGATCTGCCCTCCTCGGCCTCCCAAAATGCTGGGATTACAGGCGTGAGCCACCACACCTGGCAACTATTTTCAAGTGCACAGTTCTGTGGCACATTCACAGTGTTGCTCAGCCATCACCGCCATCTGTCCCCAGAACTCTCTTTCACCTTGCAAGACAGAAGCTCTGTCCCCATTAACACCAATCCCCCAGCCCCTGGTGACCCCCACCCTACACCCTGTCTCTGAATTTGACTCCTAGGGACCTCATACAAGTGGGTCACACAGTATTTATTTTCTGGGTGAGCTGTGTTTTTTGTTAAGAAAAAAACATGGCCAGGTGCGGTGGCTCACGCCTGTAATCTCAACACTTTGGGAGGCTGAGGTGGGCGGATCACCTGAGGTCAGGAGTTTGAGACCAGCCTGGCTGGTGAAACCCTGTCTCTACCCTGTCTCTACTAAAAATGCGAAACAGCTGGGTGTGGTGGCGGGCGCCTGTAATCCCAGCTGCTCTGGAGGCTGAGGCAGGAGAATTGCTTGAACCCAGGAGGCAGAGGTTGCAGTGAGCCGAGATTGCGCCTGGGCAACAAGAGTGAAAACTCCACCTCCAAAAATAAAAATAAAAAAGTAAAAAACACACACATACAAACTAAAACTACACATTTGACACATTTCAGAAATGAACCGAGTTCCCAGGCGGAGGTTCACGGTGATGGTTCTCTTGCTTTAAAAGCTGAGTTGGGCAGATGTCGAGGCAGGAGAGTGGGGCAAGTGGCTCATCATGCCTCTAATCCCAGCGCTTTGGGAGGCCGAGGTGGGCAAATCACTTGAACCCAGGAGTTCAAGACCAGTCTGGCCAACATAGCAAGACCCCATTTCTACCAAAGAAAATGAAAGCTGAGTTTGAGCCCCAGGCGCCTCCCCTGGTGTTGAGAGATCAGTTGCCCACAAGGTCTGAGGTGCCCCTGTGGCCCTTTGAGGGGACCGCGGCAGAGGGCCCAGCCCGGATGTGGCAGCCTCGTGCGGTGGGACTCGTTCCTACAGGCCTTTGGGGCTGTGGAAGCCATCTCTGACCGGATCTGCATCCACACCAATGCGCACGTCAGCGTGGAGGTGTCGGCGGAGGACCTGCTCACCTGCTGTGGCATCATGTGTGGAGACGGGTGAGTCAGGCTCTGCTTCCGCAGCGGGTTTAGTGCTGGGAGACCCTGGGCCCCGGCTTCTCAGTGCAGGGGACTTCTGGGACTCCTGCGAGTCAGAAGTGTTTCAGGGAGACTCTGGAGTCTGGCAGGCAGGGCCTGGCACGGCTGCTGCTTCCTGAGGTGCCTGAACCAAGGCTGGCCCGGCAGAACTGTCTGAGGGGTGGTGTCCCAGCAAAACAGACGGTCTCAGAAAATGTGGTGGAATGTCTGACCCCGGCCTGGTTTGTGTCATCGCATGTTCCTTTTTCCTGCTTGGGGAAACAGTCTGGGCATTTCCTTATGTATATTCAGGAGGATGGAGCCACGTTAACAGCAAGGTGGTGGCACAGAACTTCCCAGCCCAGCCTCGCCTGGGTTCTGCAGTAGCGGTGTTCGCCCACAGCTGCAGATCCCAAACACCCGAGGCCTTCAGACATGTGCCTGGGCCTCTCCCCAGACTAGTTAAATGGGAATCACTGGCGGTTCTCATTTCAGAGAACTGGTGGTGCTCTCGTAAGAACCACCAATGGTGGCTTTTCGTAAGTACCTCGGGGAAGTTTAGTGTCCGCTCAGTTGAGGGTCACTGTTCTGCCGGGAAGGACACGAACGGGAGAGCCTCCTCTCCGGGATCTTTGTGGGCAGGGGTGGGCTGGGGGTTATTTCCTGCAAGCTGTGCTAATCTAGGGAGCGTCCCTTGGAGGGTTTGGTGTCTGGGAGGGCTGCTGCACCACTTGCTGAAGGTGGGGCGGGTCCACGAGTGACCTCGGGCACGCGGGTGGCGCGCAGTGGTCTGGAGAGCCGCTAGTGCTGCTTCCGGAGGTTTTCATGAGAGGCTGTCTTTTCAGCTGTAATGGCGGCTATCCTGCTGGAGCTTGGAACTTCTGGACAAGAAAAGGCCTGGTTTCTGGTGGCCTCTATGACTCCCATGTAGGTGAGTGTCTCCCCTCGGCCCCTTGCCGGCCAGATGGATGGTTTCAGCAGTTAACCATCGTGGCTTTATTTGCCTTTATAAAGTGGAGGTTGAGACAGAGGGCCGGGTGAAAGGTGCGAGCAGGTGCACAGGCCTCTGGCAGGACCTGCCTGGCATCCATGCTGCAGGCACGAGGCTGGCCTTGCGCCAGGTCTGCCTGTCCCAGCGGGGCTTCTTGGTGGGGGCTGTCGGTTGACTCCGCTTTCTCCCGGGTCCCATCAGGGTGCAGACCGTACTCCATCCCTCCCTGTGAGCACCACGTCAACGGCTCCCGGCCCCCGTGCACGGGCGAGGGTGATACCCCCAAGTGTAGCAAGATCTGCGAGCCTGGCTACAGCCCAACCTACAAACAGGACAAGCACTACGGTAAGGGGCCTGGCCACGGCCGCGTGAGGCTGGGGAGCTGCTGCATCCTTCCCTGCGCTGCAGGGAAGAGGTCAGGGCTGAGAAGCCTTGGGGTCCAGGAACCCTAGGATAGAGAAGGAAAGGGAAATGATGCCCTCTTGCCAGGGGAAGCAGCACACTCTCCACTTGCTCTGTTCCACCCTGAACTCAGCCTCAGCCCTCCCAAGCTGGAAGGGACCAAAGCCCTCATTTCACAGGGGAGTGGCATGTCCTGGAGTCCTGGGGTATCCTGGCCTCTTCCAGGGCCGTATGCTCACTGTTCCCTTCTCCCACTTCTGAGCTTCCAGCCCCAGCCCCGTCCTTACTCCCTCAGGGGAGCCTTCCTTGAGCTCCCCTGGCTGGGCAAGTCCCCTTAGACGCACAGTCTTCCCCTGGAGGCCACCAGAAATCAGTGACTGGCTGACGGTGGCACAGCACAAGGCACTGTCACCGCCCTCCCCAACCGCCAGCTCGGTTCATTTTCCAGGATACAATTCCTACAGTGTCTCCAATAGCGAGAAGGACATCATGGCCGAGATCTACAAGAACGGCCCCGTGGAGGGCGCTTTCTCTGTGTATTCGGACTTCCTGCTGTACAAGTCAGGTGCGCGCTGATAACGGTGGAGGCTCATGCTGACCCTCCAGGGGAGGGGAGCCCAGGGGGCCAACAGGACTTGATTGGGGTAGGCAGGCAAGGGGCTGGGGAAGAGGCTGTGAGGGGCCTCCTGTGCAGGCTCACTCCTGTGGACCAGGCTGGCTCCTCACAGTCTGTCTCTCCACCTGCTGTGCCACCACACAGAGAATTCCAGAGGCCTCTCCCAGGGCCTCTGGGCTAGTTCCTTCCCATCCCTTAGAGTCCAGCTCACATGTGTTTTCCGTGGAAGCGCCTCCCTCCCTGGCGGCTGAGCGTGCCTGCCCTCGCCTTCATGGCTTTGCATTGCTTTACCAGCATGTTCCCGTTAAAACGGCAGGCCTTTCGTGTCTGCACTGGCTGGCACATTTTCTTCATCTTTGTCTTTGCAAAGGCCTAGATCATGCCTCACACCAGTGGATGAACACACAGGGACCTCGCCCTGGGCAGTGCTGTAGGGGCTCGAAGCAAGGAATCCGGACAGTCCCCATCCCCAAGTCCTGTCTGAGAAATCCCTTGCTCCAGATGAACGGTCTTTGCTCACCGCATCGAGCTCAGTAATATTTTGCTAGATGGGAAACTCCAAAGCTCTCAGCGCTTATAAAACAACAGTTTGACAAAGGAGGATGATTCCGGCAAGAAAAAATGACTGTAAAGATGGTAGTTCTTAGCACAGTCCTTGCCCATATTATTAAAAGCTGTGTTTCCACTTTGATAGTGATTTCCGTACCAGCGGAGAGCCTGGTTGGGCAGTCCTGAACCCCTTAGCGGTATCTTTCCCATCAGCTAGCACTGGCCGCCACCAGCCCGCCCTTCTCCCTCACCTCTCCAGGGTGTACCTGGAGCAGCTGTTAAAACTCTTTAAGCCGTGTAACCCTTCTGACAAACCCTTACTTACATGGAATCCCAGTGTATAGAACAGATGAATCTGTCACCTAACATTAAATGTTTTATACACTAGAATGTATTAGAAATTCTATTTTTAAAGACAACCAACAAGCACATTTTGTAGGAATCTATTTTAATATTTACTCAACAGATTTGAGTGTGTTGGGCCTTCAGAAATATATTTAATATTCCCCAGTGTTGTGGTAACCCTGGAGCCTTCTGATGGAGCAGCAGGGTCCCTCTGGAAGCTGTTTCTCCTGCCCGGAGGGTGACCAGCGGAGTGTGGGGGGTACTGTGGGGTGCGGGCCATGGCCTGGTCTTGGTCTCAGCCGGTTCTTTTCAGGAGTGTACCAACACGTCACCGGAGAGATGATGGGCGGCCATGCCATCCGCATCCTGGGCTGGGGAGTGGAGAACGGCACACCGTACTGGCTGGTTGCCAACTCCTGGAACACTGACTGGGGTGACAATGGTGAGTGGCGGCCCCTTCCTGTCGAGAACAGGGAATTGTGAGCCACACACAGTGCCCGTCTCGGCTTTCTCTGTTCTACCCGCTGCACAGCCTCACACCCTAGACCTAAGGCCAGGCTGTGAGCTCCTCCTATGTGCCAGGCACCCAGGAGTTTCCTTTTGCTGCAAGGGCAGACCCCGAGCAGCTTCAGAGCCCACGCCTGCCACAGTTCCCACAGCATCGCGCCAGATGCCGTGATGGGGGCGGTGACCGGGCAGGAGGGTTGTCCGTGGAGGTGTGCCCCACGGCTGCCTCTGGAAGCCTCATGGTGCTGAGGGCTGTGCCACTGGGCAAACAGCAGGAGCTGCCAGGGATTGGTGATGACTCCCAGGTCTTTTAGGGATGAGTCTGAATATATTGATTGACCCTTGTCACACTTTAAAAGCACCTTACTTTTTATTCCCAGGCTTCTTTAAAATCCTCAGAGGACAGGATCACTGTGGAATCGAATCAGAAGTGGTGGCTGGAATTCCACGCACCGATCAGTACTGGGAAAAGATCTAATCTGCTGTGGGCCTGTCCTGCCAGGCCTGGGGGAGTTTTCCCTGAATACAGTCAGGGATCGGGGTGAGATGGGGGTAGAAATGCCTTTTATTCTTTGAGTTCACGTAAGATACAAGTTTTAGACAGGGCTTGAAGGACTGGATTGGCCAAACCTCACATCAGCCATCAGAGCTGGCTTCCAAGGAGACACATCCCAAATCCTGGCTACATCCCAGCCTGTGGTTCCAGTGCAGACAGTTAGGCCATGTGAGCCACTGCTGCCAGCACAGCACGTCCTCCCCCTATAGACCAGTGCCACAGGGAGTGCCTGCTGCCCCAGCTGACTGTGGCCCCCTCCCCGATCCATCCATCTCCAGGGAGCAAGACAGAGACCCAGGAATGGAAAGCGGAGTTCCTAACAGGATGAAAGTCCCCCCATCAGTTACCCCCAGTACCTCTAAGCGAGTAGCTTTCCACATTTGCTATAAGATCAGAGGAGAGATGGTGTTGGGAGCCCTTTGGAGAATGCCACATTCTCCCAGACCCCCTGCATCTATCGAGTTTGCAGTGTCACAACTTCTCTGGTCTTGTGCTCAGCATGATACTTTTTTAATAGAAGTCTTCTCTTTTGTGCACTCTGCTAATCATGTGGGTGAGTGAGTCGAACAGCTGGGAGCACCTGTGCTAGTTTTACAGATTGCCTCCTAATGGCGCGGCTCAAAACGAAACCAAGTGGTGAGGACTTGTTTCTGACCCACTGGTCTCTACCACCACAAGGAAACTAGTTTAGGAGAAACCAGCTTTTACTGTTTTTTAAGAATTACTGCTTTACCCTGTCAAGTTAACAAGGAATGCCTGTGCCAATAAAAGGTTTCTCCTTCAACTTGCAATCGACTCTGATGGGATCTCAGAGATCATTTGTCACTGCCTATAGACTTGTGGCTGCCGTCTGTCCTCATCCCTGCAGAGAGTTACGTCCTGGAACTGCGTGTTCTTGCGACTCTTGGGATCTCATCTTAACTTCTTGCTGCCCCAGCCATGTTTCCAACCATGGCATCCCTCCCTCTTCGTTCCCTGTCATCCTCATCAACCTTCTCTCTAAGTCCTTGGTAAGCTTGCCCTTGCTTAAGAACTAACAACACAGCTGTGCTCTGTTTGTTGTTGTTGAGAGAATCTCTGTCTGTCGCCCAGGCTGGAGTACAGTGGCGCCATCTTGGCTCACTGCAACCTGTGGCCTCCTAGGTTCAAGCGATTCTCCTGCTTCAGCCTGCCGAGTAGCTGGGATTACAGGCACTCACCACCATGCCCGGCTACTTTTTGTATTTTTAAGTAGATACGATATTCACCATGTTGGCCAGGCTTGTTTCAAACTCCTGGCGTCAGGTGGTCCACCTGCCTCGGCCTCCCAAAGTGTTGGGATTACAGGCGTGAGCCACCATGCCTGGCCTCTCTTTTTTATCAGCCACAAATCCAGCAGCAGCCTGAGGATTCAGCTCATAAAATAGGCCTGGTGTCTTGGTGATCTCACATAACCAAGATGCCATCCCGTGGAGAACCACATCTCCCTGGATGCCCTCCAGTCTTGGTTTGGGCTGGCGTCGGCTGGCGTCAGAGCCTGTATACAGTATTTTGAATTTGTATGCCACTGGTTTGCATTGCTGGTCAAGAACTCTAGTGCTTTGCATAGCCCTGGTTTAGAATCCTGTTACAGCAGTTCTTGGTGCAGAGGAAACTAGAAGACCCAGCAATCATTCCATTGCCCTGCCAAGGTACACCTCAGTACTCCCCTTCCCAACTGAGGTTGTGTGGGGCTAGCTCTTTCCAGAAGCATTGAAGTTTGGTTTCTGATGTGACTCAGAAGTTAGGAACCAGAAGCTACATCAAATAAGCTCTGAAAATCTGAGGAGCATTGTAGGAAAGGTTATGCTCATCATGGCACTTAAGAGATGCTTAACAAAGGTTACCAAAGCCACAATTCATAACCACTCACTCATCCGGTTTCAACTAGAGTATATTCATAACCTCAATAAAGTTTTACCTGTTCCCAAACTGAGTTGAATCATTCCACGCGCACTGTCTCCCTCACCTCCATCGTATCCCCACCTGCAGCTCCCTCCCTGCCTCTGCATGGAGCCGGCGGGGATGGGCTAGTGACAGAAGGAATTGTGGGGCATCTCGACCTCAGCTTAAGACTTTGTTAGAAACACCTGCCTTGCAGTGTTTGTGACTGGGACAGAGCCCAGTGCTCTAATGCACCTCAGATCACCCCAATGGTCATCACTTTGTCACCTCAGTTCAGTAGTTTCCTGGATTCTTGTCCAAGTGACATGACAGGTGGAGGTGACAATGCCTTTTCAGTCTTTATCTAGACTCTCCAGAGTCACTCCAGAATATAAATTAGAGTATAGGTAGACAGTCCAGCCTTTGCCTTTTAAAAAAATTTTTTTGAGATGGGAGTCTCGCTCTGTCACCCAGGCTGGAGTGCAGTGGCGTGATCTTGGCTCACTGCAACCTCTGCCTCCTGGGTTCAAGCGGTTCTCCTGCCTCAGCCTCCCAAGTAGCTGGGATTACAGGCATCCGCCACCACACCTGGCTAATTTTTGTAGTTTTAGTAGAGACGGGGTTTCACCATGTTGACCAGGCTGGTCTCGAACTGACTTCAAGTGATGCACCTGCCTTGGCCTCCCAAAGTGCTAGGATTATAGGCATGAGCTACCGTGCCCGGCTGCCACTCTTTAAAGAAAGCAGTAATTTGCCCTCTTCAATGTGCCTCAGCCATACTCAAGTGGTCCACGGCACGGCCGTCACCTGAGAGCCTGTTAGGAAATGCTCTCCTCAGTGTGAGAAGGCCGGACCTCTGAACAGCATTCGCATCTCCCAAGACCCCAGGTGTCTCCCAGGCACATTCAAGCTCAGAATACCTTTCCAACTGCTCCCTGATTAGAACACTGCCTGAGAATTTAGGAATGCAAGCTCTTGGGCACCCCATCAAACCTACTGTGTCAAAGTCTTTGGTCCCAGCAATCAGGCAATTCTGATATAAAGTCTGAGAACCACAGCCTTAGAACTCTGTTTCCAAAACTGCTAAGAATAACCTAGAATGCTTGGTCACATGCTTGACTCGCCCTCTTCCTCCTATACACACCCGAGCCCCTGGGAAATGGCTCAGTAGATGGAAGAAGGGGCCCTCCCCGCACTTGGCCACAGGCATCCAGAAGTTCCCAACCATTGTAGTTGTTTATGGTCCTAGATTCAGATGGGTCAGAGGCTCCTCTGAGGAAAACTTAAACTATTCCACCATTAGGTAGGATCCAAATAGACTCTATGCCAGAGATGCTATAAAATTATATTAGAAGTGGGGAGTAGAGGGTAGTGTTGCTAGAGTTAGCAAACAGAAATACAAGATGGCCAACTACTTTTGAATTTGCGGATACGCAAGTTTTTTTTTTTTTTTTTGAGACAGTCTTACTGTCACCCAGGCTGGAGGGCAATGGCGTGATCTCGGCTCACTGCAACCTCTGCCTCCTGGGTTCAAGCAATTCTTGTGCCTTGGCCTCCCGAGTAGCTGGGGCTACAGGCATGTTCCAAGCCCGGCTAATTTTGGTATTTTTAGTAGAGACGGGGTTACGCCATGTTGGTCAGGCTGGTCTCGAACCCCTGACCTCAAGTGATCCGCCTGCTTCGGCCTCCCAAAGTGCTGGGATTACAGGCATGAGCCACCACGCTGGGCCATCAACTCCATTCTTGAGCTCCATCTTTTCCACAGTCAGGCAGGCTTTCAAGTGAACTGAACTTGACAAATGCAGAGCAATTAAATTCTTTATTATAAAAATCTCAAAAATGTCCACCTTTACTGAAGGCCAATCTTCTGAAATGGGGTCAAAGGCAATCCTGCTGTTTCTCTCTGAAAGCTAAACTCCCTTACGATAATAGGAGAACACCCAGAATTTTATTCCCAGCCTTCGTGTGCAAAAGGCAGTTTGCATTCTTAGGAAACACCTAAGTGTCACCTAAACCATAAATATTTCCATCTACTCCATTCAACCCAGTTAAAGAAAATAAAATGATGAGAAAACTAGGAACTCAACAGAAAGAAATTTCACATCATTTTCTACTATTGTGAACATTCAAAGGTTGCTTCAAATTAAATACTTTTAATTATCATTCCAGCCAGGATCACACTAAATAGGATCTCATGACAGTTACATACGCAGCCACTTCACCTAAACTGTGGCACAGAGTGCTCTGCCGTGAGTCACAAGCAGCACAGTGATCACCACCCACAAGGACAGGTTGCTGGGGTGAGGCGCCCTTTGCTTTCATGTTTAGATTCTTCTCAGCTGCATCTCGCTTTCCTAAAGGCCCCAGCCACACAGTTCTTTCAGGGATTAAAGTAGGAGGAAAAAAATAAAGAGAAGCCAACATCCATCCTTAAAGAAAAAAAGTAAATCCATTTGATGGTGAACTTCACCCACGGACAAATTTGGGATCAGTGTTCTCCAGTCTGCACATAGTCTTCTGTGACCTGGGAGAGAGTGGTCAGGTACTGCCAGCTCAGGGCAGCCAAGAGCATGACAAACGACAGGTAGATGGGGGAGTAGTGGCTTCGGGAGATCAGCTGACAGTTGGGAAGATTCTGCGTCCGGATGGTGGAGATGATCTGCCTTGTTTTACTAGAAGATGGGTCTGAGTCGGGGATTCTATGATAAATCTGTTAAAGACACAGGAAAAACTGGTAAGTGCTATGTGCTTTACATTTTCCATGGCTACTTACAATCCTCCACTGGTAGGTAGTTTATGCCTATTTTACCAATGAGGAAAGGGAGGCTCAGAGAACATGAAAGTAACTTACCCCAAGCCACCCCAATGATAAGGTGGGGATGTCAGCCCCAGCCTACTCGTCGCAAAGCCTGTCTTCCTGAGCAAACGGGAAGCACAGGTGTGCATACTGCACCCCGGAGGCCCTCAAGAGCAGCGGCTGAGCCACACTGATCTCCACATCCCCAGCACCGCACAGTGCCCTTCCAGGAGATAAGTAAGGTGAATAAATGAAGAGAAATCTCGGTTGTGACGGTCCCTGGTAATGCAATTAGTGGCAAAACTTTTGAGTCCTTTGATGATCACTTCTAATATATAAGCATGACAGCACAGCTGGAAGAAGCTGCAGTCACTGGTCCTCAGACATGGCCTTACCTAAAACAGAGCCGCTAAGGCCAAAGGGACCTTCTAGATGCTTCGTTGCTAGCCCAAACCCCACTTTCCATTTACCTGAAGGCATACAGTAGGTTTTTGCAAACTCAATTATTCAGGTCTTAAAAACCTACCAGCCTCAGTCAAGGAGTTACATCTGCTTGTCAAGGACAGGTTGTGGCAAACTTTTCATCCACATGCCTGGCATATAGTTGAAGCAAAAGAAATACTTCAGGGGTTTGAGAAAGGGCCTCACTCTGCCCAGGCTGGAGTACAGTGGTGCCATCTCAGCTCACTGCAACCTCCACCTCCCGAGTTCAAGCGATTCTCATGTCTCAGGCTCCCAAACAGCTGGGATTACAAGTGTGTGCACCACCACGCCTGGCTAAATTTTGTATTTTCAATAGAGATGGGGTTTCACCATATTGGCCAGGTTGGTCTCGAACTCCGGACCTCAAGTGATCTGCCTGCCTCAGCCTCCCAAAGTGTTGGGATTACAGGTGTGAGCCACAGTGCCGGGCCTGGTGATTAAATGACAGAGGCTCCTGTAAGTGCTTACTGGACTGAAATAAGCTCTTGTGCAATGCTGTGCTACCGGAGCTCCTCTGTGAGTCCATGTGGTACTTTCAGGTCTCAGCAGTTCTACTTACAACAATAGAATATGGAATCAGCTTGATAATCATTTAAAACTCTCATCTATGAATATCTAAACTCCCATTAAAGCAAAAACATCATTTGGAAAAAAACAAAAAAAGGCAGATTCTGATTCGACAGGTTCGGGTGGGGGCTGATGTCTAACGGGCTCCCAGGTGATTCCCAGCGGCTGCTGGCTGGGACCATCCTTGAGCAGCGAGGCACCTGGGGTCCAAAGAGCCTGATGATGCTCTGACTTAACCACGGGAGGGCACAGGAAGTGTGCAGAGACACGAACAAGATTCTCCCTGCCAAGGAATCACTTTGGCAGAGAGGGGAATGGGGGTTTCTGGCCGTTTGGCTGAGCATTTATTTATATCCCAAAATAGCAGGTTGATCTTCTCCCCAACTGACAGGCGTCCAGGCTGGTTTAAAGCGGCGGCTGCTCCAGGGTGGGGTGAGGGCCCTGCAGAGTGTGGCCACCTGCTTGGGAAGGCCTGGGGCTGCACTCCCAAGTCCTCACTAAGCACTGGAGATGCATGAGGAGGTCCTCTGGCAAGTCCCTTCCAGGTGCATGCTCGCTACAACACGAAGTCCAGAGATCCTACAGTCAACATTTCCTCCTTTCTTACTGCAAAGGACAGACTTGGTCAGCGAGGAGAAACAGGATCAGTGTTCATATCTGGACACCAGCAAGCGGCCAGACGACTTGTGGCTTCATACAAAATGTTTTCATTTAAAACTTTACTTGTAAAATGTCCTTACTGCTGAAACTAAAACCATTAACAGGTTCTGTGGCTTAAGACTTAGAAATCTTCATAGATTTTTCTAAATCAAATCAACTTAAGTATTAATATTAACATTTCTCCCCAAATGCCTTGAGTTTTACTTGGATAACTTTAAACAAAACAACTGATGCCCTAAGCCAGAGGTCAGCAAACCTCTTATTCAAGGGCCAAAAAATATTTTTAGCTTTACAAGTCATCCCCGTTGCAGCTCCTCAACTCGGCCGTTACATTGCAAAAGCAGCCACAGAAGATACAGAAGCAAATGGGTGTGGCTGTATTCAGATAAACTTTATTCACAAAAACAGGGCTCGGCCAGCTGTGGGTTGTCCACCCTGACCCTCAAACTATGAATTACCACTAGGATTTAATTCCAATAGTTAAGAAAAATCAAATACATCTGAATTTTAATATAGTAATGGAATTGGCCACAAAATGTTTAAAAACTGGTTTCTAAAACTAGTGATCAGAATAAAACTGCAAAACCGAAACACTCTGAACTTACTACATAAAATGTTTCTAATTTATATAAAATGAAGAAATGGTGCTTAATATGGCAGGATTCCATTTAGAAAGGGTAGTTGAATCCCTTAGAATTGGGGTTAACATCATGGATTCTGATGTCAGACAGACCTGGGTTCAAATTATCACTGCAGCCATGAGGCTGGGGCTCAAGTTTCCCTGAGATTACTCCTATCCACCTACTCGGTCACTACCCCAGGCACATAGCTCAAAATAAGTCCTGGCTACATGGCAAACTGGAGAGCCTTGGTAGCAATTTTTTTGGTCAGTGGCTGAATACTTTCATCTAGTGACTATAAAATTTTAGGATTTTTAAAAGCAATTTGGTCTTCTGTTAGACTTCTATAGGTGCCTCTGATGTTTTGGACATCAGCATTTCTATGACAGAAAGAAGGTAGGGAGGAAATAGAAGGACAATATGCAACATGCAAGAGAAATCAGAAATAGCTATTTTGTATAATTCTATTTAGATGAAAACACTGTTGCAAACCATATTCCTGTAAAGGCATAACAAGGGGACTAGAAGGATGTACAAAACCATGGACAGTGGTAACTTCTGGGGAGGGAGCTCAGGCAAAGGAAAAATGATGAGCGTCCTGTATGTTTTCATAAAGTCTATAGTGTTTCAATCTCAACAAGATCACACCTGAGGATAACAGCATCATCCTGGGCCTCTACTCACCAGATGCCAGGAGCACCCAATTCGTGTCCTCTTGTGGGAGGGGAGCAAATCACCTCCATTTACAAACCACTGCTCTAGGGTCTAGAGATTCTAGAGATTACAGAGACTTCTGGTTTCTAAGAAGTAAATTTTTTTTTTTGAGACAAAGTCTCACTCTATCACCCAGGCTAGAGTGCAATAATGAGATAACAGCTCACTGTAGCCTCGACCTCCCAGGCTCAAGTGATCCACCTGCCTCAGCCTCCTGAGGCAGCTGAGACCACAGGCGTGCACCATCATGATCAGCTAATTTTTAAATTATTTGTAGAAATGGGGTCTTGCTATGTCACCCAGGCTGGCCTTAAATTCCTGGCCTCAAGTGATCCTCCCACCTTGGTCTCCCAAAGTGCTGAGATTTCAGGAGTGAGATACTGTGCCTGGCCAGAAATAAATTTTCTGAACCTAGTCAGATATTAGAGATTTGACCTGAGAAGGTATGTTTTCTTTTTATAGGATGCTTTTGGTATTTGAAATGAAATTTTCCAAAGAAAATTTAGGAAATAATTGCAACTGGATGGCTTTCGTTGGCCTAAATTCCCTACTGTGATTTTTCAATTGAAGCCTGTGGCATAATGAAAGTACCCGACTGGGAGTCAGAACACATGGACCAGGAGCCAGAGATCCACTCAATCACGTACTGCATCAGCACAGACAAGCTTCAACCTCACATTCCTCACCATCAGCAAGAAGCTTGGTTGGCCTCCGGCATCATCTTGCAGCTCAAAATCTATGATTGTACTCAAGGGCTCCATCCTACAGTCTTGCTCCATTTATCTCCTCTCACCAGGGTACTACACAGCAGTGAGCAATCTGCTCGACCCCTGTGCATAGATTTTTTTCCTAACAAAGGATATCAATTCCTGTCTCTTTAGGCCATAGGACAGTGAGTTGTTAGGATCATCTAACATCCAAACATGTTTAAACAGTGACATTACTAAATCATAAAAGTAGCTACGGCCGGGCGCGGTGGCTCAAGCCTGTAATCCCAGCACTTTGGGAGGCCGAGACAGGCGGATCACGAGGTCAGGAGATCGAGACCATCCTGGCTAACACGGTGAAACCCCGTCTCTACTAAAAAATACAAAAAACTAGCCGGGTGAGGTGGCGGGCGCCTGTAGTCCCAGCTACTCGGGAGGCTGAGGCAGGAGAATGGCGTAAACCTGGGAGGCGGAGCTTGCAGTGAGCTGAGATCCGGCCACTGCACTCCAGCCTGGGCGACAGAGGGAGACTTCGCCTCAAAAAAAAAAAAAAAAAAAAAAAGTAGCTACAAATTATCCAAGTAGTTAAATAAAAACTCACCTCTTCCATATACTGATATATGATGGCTTTGACAGCTGGCATATTGGTGGCATCCATCATCAGGGTCACCGCTTGCCCTTTCCGAATCTTCACTGCCCCTTTGAACACCTGCTGGTTATTGTAACAGGCAGCCAAAGTGGCAATGGCCATCACCTACAGAGAGCAAGAAGAGAGGGGAAAAAAGAAGAGATGGTGTTGTAAGCTATCATTATCACAAAAAGGTAAGAAAACCTTCTGTCGAACGGGCAATTGCTAACTGCTAATGAACTAAGATGTAATTAATCAAGAAAAAATACCCACGAAGAATGTATGCCAAGATTTTTACCTTCCCGACTCCTGCCTTTCTCAGCAACACACAGAATTAAGCAGCGTAAAACAACTCTACAGTTTAGCCACAAAAGTTCCATTTTATTTGGAAAAAGCAAACACAAGTAAATCCAACATTTTCCATGCTAGAGCAATGGATTATTAGATCTGAAATATCTATTTCAAAATAATATATGGAAAGAATTTTCTGTTTTACTTGTTTTTCTATTTTCCTACAACAAACATAATCATTACATATTTAAAACTAATGCCAGGGGGAGAACAACAGAAGGGGATTAATTTCCTGTGCTCAAAGATAAACTATTTCTAGGTAAATTGAAACATAAGACAAGGATATAGATTTTACTTTCAACCACCATTCCAAGTTGGTCATTAGAACAAGATCAAACCAAGTTCCCAAATCAGTTAAATGCTATTACTTTCTTCACTTATTTGCAGTAGTATCTGAAATACTTGGTAAAGGCAACTAAAAAGTGTTAAGTTCCTAGCATACTGAGGAACTAGGTCTACAGGACCAGGTTCTTGTTATCCTGGGTCTAGGAAAAGGACAGCAATAATTAGATGCTTAATGAAGACATTTTAATGATAACAGCCTCACCCATGTTTTACCCAGCACTCCCCATAAATCTAGGCCAAAGACCTTGACTTAACTGAGGATAAGAACCTAACTAGTTTAGAACAGCTGTGGAAAAGAGGAAATCCAGAAAGAAGGTTCTGAAAAGGAGCAGGCTTAACCTCAAGGCTGAGCTGAGTCTGGGAGCTCGAAGCAAAGCGAGGTGCTATGAAACCACCAGCAAAATCAACTGGAGCCATCATCTTTTTAAGGAATCATATCCTTGAATACAGCATAGCAAAATCCACCCTTACGCCCACCCCACTCCCTTTAGCCCCATATCCACCCAGAGGAGTCCCATTCCCTACCTGTGGAATAGCACAGAAGTTAAACACACTCTGGTTTCTGAGTCTTGAAAGGTAGGTGATGACATCTGGGATGTGGTGCAGTGCATTGGTTATAAGTTCATTCAGGCACTGCACGGCCAAGTCAATATTCTCTGGCTTAGCAAAATCCCCTAACTTCTTAACATACCTGCTCCAAACCTAGACAGATAAGATTAAGGAACAGGTCAGCATGTGCATAGGGGAGAATTTATAAACAATATTAAAGGATCTTTGTGCATAAGAACTATGATACAGGCTGGGCGCGGTGGTTCACGCCTGTAATCCCAGCACTTTGGGAGGCTGAGGAGGGTGGATCATGAGGTCAGGAGTTCAAGACCAGCCTGGCCAAGGTGGTGAAACCCTGTCTCTACTAAAAATATAAATATTTGCTGGGTGCGGTGGCAAAAAAAAAACTATGATATACAGTAAAGTCTCTCTTAGCTGCAGACTCATCTTCCACCAAGATCAAGTTCATTTTAAGCTCCATGCAATGGCTATTTCTGACTACCAGTAAGGGTCCATTTGCAACCTAGGAGTGAGTTCAGTATTGGAGAACATGTCTTTATGGACAATTAGGGCAATGCTGCACTACTTGGACGAATTCAGACTAAAGAGGCTCCTGTTAGAGCTGTCGGTCTACTTCTGAAAAAAATAACCCAATATACAAAAATAGTTATAATTGTACTGCAGACTAAACATTACACATTCTCAAGATGGCCAGGCCTCTAAATAATGACTAACATTCTATTCCTACTCTGGTAAGAATGCTGCTGAAAGGCATACCTGGGAAACAAGCTAAGTCTATCCTCTAAGTGTATTACCTCCCTGGATCCTGATAATTAGAAAGTAAAATAAAACCCTCAGTTCTAACAGTGGGCTTCGGCTTGATGATTTTTAATGATATTATTTAGAGGATTCTCTGAAGCTAGCAAAAGTTCTGGAAAGATAGCGTTGACGGTTATATAACATCATTAATGTACTTAATGCCACTGAATGATACACTTAAAAACAGTTAAAATGGCAAATTCTCTATTATGTACATTATAAATAAGAAAATGTTAAGTATATATACATACAGTTAAAAAGAGATAACAAGAAGTGTTGGTGAGGATGTGGAGAAACTGGAACTCTCACACTGCCGATGGGAATGTAAAATGGTGGGGCCACCTTGGAAAAGGGTATGGCAGCTCCTCACAAGGTTCGAGCTGTTGTATGAACCAGCCATTCCACTTCTCAGTATAGACCCAAGAAAAAGGAAAACACACATCCACACAAAACCTATTCACCATAGCCAAAAAAAATGGGAAGAACCCAAATATCCTTCAAATGATGAATGGATAAATGTGGTCTGTCCACGCAGTGGAGTAATACTGGGCAATAAAAAGGAATAAAGCACTGATGCAATGCCCCAGCATGGAAGAGCCCTGAAAACACACTAGCAAAAGAAGCCAATCACCTAGGACCACATTTGGCATGATTTAACTACTATGAAATGTCCAGAACCTTTATTAAGCATTCTGTGCTGGAAGTTCATCTCATTTTATTCACACCACCACACTGTGGTAGAAATAATTCTATTTTACAGATAAAGGAAGTGGATGAGAAGAGCAGGGCTCTGCGCCCGTGTGTGCAGGATGGTGTGGCTCATGCTCATGAATCACATGCCCGTGGCTGATGTTCTGTCTGGGAGACAATGGAACAGTGGTCAGGTGCTGGCCGAGGAGCCGGGAGACTGAGACTCCACTTCCAAGGCAGCCACTGCCTCACTGTGCATCCCCAGAAAACCCCTTCCCTTCTCGGAGCCCTGTTGTCAGCAAAAGATGGGTAGACGAGAGTGGTTTCTCAACCCTGGCTGCACACAAGTCACCTAGGAAACTTAAAAGGCTGTGGCTGAGCTCTGGGTAGTGTTTTTGTTTTTTTTTAGAGCCAAGGGTCTTGCTCTGTCACCCAGGCTGCTAGAATGCAGTGGTGTGATCGTGGTTCACTGCAGCCTTGAACTCTTGGGCTCAGGAAATCCTCCTGCCTCAGTTTCTCAAGAAGCTAGAACTATACGGTCATGCCACCAGCTAATTTTTAAAAAAATTTTTTTTACTGGAGTCTTGCTCTGTCACCCAGGCTGGAGTGCAGCGGTGTGATCTCAGCTCACTGCAACTTCTGCCTCCTGGGTTTGAGCGATTCTCCTGCATCAGCCTCCCAAGTAGCTGGCACTCCAGGCATATGCCACCACACTTGGCTAATTTTTGTAATTTTAGTAGAGACAGAGTTTTGCCATGTTGGCCAGGCTGGTCTCAAGCACCTGACCTCAAGTGATCCACTCACCTGGGCCTCTCAAAGTGCTGGGATTATAGGTGGGGAGTCACTGCGCCTGGCCAATTTTTCCGTTGTTTTTTGTTGTTTTTTTTTTAATAAAGACAGGGTCTCACTACGTTGTCCTGGCTGTTCTTGATATCCTAGCTTCAGTGATATTCCCGCCTTGGCCTCCCAGTGTGGAGATTACAGGCGTGAGCCACCGCACCCAGCCCCCAGGGTAGTTTAAATGTGAATTTTTCTTAGGAGTAAGACTCAGCATCTTTTCAGGTTTTTAATAATCATCTGCATGTCTCTTCCTGTGAACGATCTGTTCTTATCTCCTTGCCCATTTTTCCATGGGGCAGTTGGTCTTTTTCTTAACTTTTAGAAGTTCTTTTCATATTAGGAATATGAACCCTTTATCTGCTCTATGAATTGTAAATATTGTTTCCCCCTTTGTCACTTGTTTTTCTTGAGATAGTTTCATTCTGCCACCTAGGCTGGAGTGCAGTGGTATGATCATAACTCACTACAACCCTGAGCTCCTGGGCTCAAGGGATCCTTGTGCCTCAGCCTCCTGAATAGCTAGGAATACAGGTACATGCCACCATGCCCGGTTAATTTTTTAAATTTAGTTTTTTTCTACTTTCTTTAATTTTTATTTTTGCTCTCTTTCAGCAGAATCATTTTCAAACAATTTTTGGTAGAGATGGTGTCTTGCTGTGTTGCTCAGGCTGGTCTTGAACTCCTGGCCCCAGCACTGGGATTACAAGTATGAGATGCCTCACTCGTCTTTTTAAAAATTTAAAGTACTTGGCTGCAGGAAACAATTTTATGGAAAGCAAAAGGTAAATGCTGGAATAAATTCAGGAAACAATCATAAATTTTCTAGTTTCCTTCTGAACAAAAAAATCAAAACCTTTCCGTTCCCTGTCCATGTTTTAATTAAGTTAAAGATGGACCCTTGTCTCTTATTACAGACACCTGGAGTGTTTTGTCCACCTGGCATCCCTTTCCCCTTCTTGCGGCAGAATTCTTTGTTTGGGGGAAATCCATTCTGTGTGTACTGTGTAGACACAATCCAGGTGAGGCCAGAGAACTCAGCTGCATAGCAATGGATTCAGGGCTGAGCAGAAGAACCAAGCCCTTCCTCTTTTTTTGAGATGGAGTCTCACTGTCGCCCAGGCTGGAGTGCAGTGGTGCGATCTGAGCTCACTGCAATCTCTGCTTCCTGGCAACTCTCCTGCCTCAGCCTCCTGGGTAGCTGGGATTACAGGTGTACACCACCACGTCTGGCTAATTTTTGTATTTTTTAGTAAAGACGGGGTTTCACTATGTTGGCCAGGCTGGTCTCGAATTGCTGACCTCAGGTGATCCGCCCACCTCGGCCTCCCAAAGTGTTGGGATTACAGGTGTGAGCCAGTGTGCCGGGCTGAACAAAGCCCTTCCTAAGAACTTTTTGTTAAGCTAGTGCACGTGGGTTGTTATCATATCCACCGCCTGGAGAAAGACTGTCTGAAAGAAAGCAAAGACAGCAAGGCTTGAATATACTGATTACAACGTGTAAATCCTGCGATTCAGCCAGTCTACCTGAAGCACACTCATCTCAAACGATCCTATTTTCCACATCCTCTTATGTTGCCTGGGGGAGGTCTGACTTGTGCTTCTGTCACTCCCAACCTCAAGAGTTAAATGATTTTTCAGAGAATGTCTAAAATTTTTTTCCCCCAAAATACCCTGAATCTGTTACCTCTTGAGGCCAAAACTCTCTTCCTTCTTGCTGGTCTTCCAGATAGTCACGAATGATGTTTGTTTTCTGCAGAAACAGGCCCATAGAGTTGGCACGTTCCGTATCTTCACCAACTAAGGGGTCTTCGAACTCTGAAGCCGAGAAGAGACGGGAAAGGCCAATTCCTACCAGCCCAGCGACATAGTGGCAGTACTGCAAGAGATGATTTTTAAAGTACTTTAATCATGGAATTTTTATTGAAAGGGACACACTAGAGATCATTAGCTCCAAAAAAGCAGGTTCGAAACAGAATGGGTAAGAATGCATTTTGATTTTAAAATACAAATATACATACCAGGATTTTTAAAAAACATCCAAGAAAGATGTGCTCAAAAGACTTCACAGCGGTCTCTGGCTGATGGGAATCGGATGTTTTTATTTTTTACCTGTATTTTCTAAATTTCTACAATGCACATGTACTGCTACTATAATAAAAGGCTATTGAAAAAAACTAGTCTAGCAAACATTTTTTATTTTATTTTATTATTATTTTTTAAGAGATGGAGTCTCATATGTTGCCCACGTTAGACTCAAACTCCTGGGCTCAAGCAATCTTTATGCCTCAGCTTCCCAAATAGCTGGGATTGTCGGCAAACACCACTGTGTCTAGCCTTACCTTACAATAAACTTTTTTTTTTTTTTTTTTTTTATAGATCAAGTCTCACTTTGTCACCTGGGCTGCAGTGCAGTGGCACAATCTCGACTCACTGCAACCTCTGCCTCCTGGGTTCAAGTGATTCTCCTGCCTCAGCCTCCTGAGTAGCTGGGATTATAGACGCCCACCACCATGTCCAGCGAATTTTTGTATTTTTAGTAGAGACAGGGTTTCACCATGTTGGCCATGCTGGTCTTGAACTCCTGACCTCAACTGATCTGCCCGCCTTGGCCTCCCAAACTGCTGGAATTACAGGCCCAAGACACCATGCCCGGCCTAGCTTTACAATAAACTTTTTGATACATAAAATTGTGAGAGAAGGCAACGATGAATGATGGAATATTCTGGCTAACAGAAACTAAGACAATACTAAGTATAGTTGAATCTTTTTTTGACCAACCTGAAAACATTTCAAGATCTGCAGGCCTTCAGAATCACTATTATATGAAAGAACAAATAACTATCATATGTTCTTGACACTGTTTTAAGAACTTTGCACATTCAATCCTCACAAACATTTATCAGGTACATAGCACTATGATCTCCATTTCAGATGAGGAAACTGAGGCACAAGGAAGTTAATTAACTTGCCCAACATTGCCCATCTGAGAAAAAAAAAATTAGCCAGGCAGGGTGGCACATGCCAGTGGTCCCAGTTACTCAGGAGGCTGAAGTAGGAGGAACACTTGAACCCAGGAAGGTGGGGCTGCCATGTTTGTGGCGGGGGCTAAGGGTTCAAAACTAGATAGTCTGACTTAAGTGTCAGGCTTTAACAACTTTGCTAAAACTTCCCCCTTTTTTTTCTTTTTAATTTTTCTTTTAGAGATAGCGTAACTTCCCCCTCTCAACAGAGATTTCAGTAAATGCAAGTCTTAATTGTCAAATACTTTTTTTCCAAGACATCAATTTGTTAAAAGTTATCCTCCTCTGAAAAGGGTATCCTAAGACAACTTAACACAACATTCACATACAATAATTGTCTATTAGTTAACTTAAGAAGAGAAAAGTAAAGAAGGTAAGCTCCGGAGTGTCATTAGGAAGCGTAAAAGTTCGGCAATGACCAAAGTGCACCCCTGTAATCCCAGAATTTTGGGAGGCTGTGGAGAGGGGACTGCTTGAGCCCAGGAGTTTTAGACCAAGCCTGGCCAACAAAGCAAGACCCTATCTCTGTAAAACATTTTAAAAGGCTGACTGTGGTGGCTCACACCTGGGAGGCCAAGGCAGGTGGATCGCTTGAGTCCAGGAGCTCAAGACCAGCCTGGGCAACATGATGAAAACCTGTCTCTACCAAAAAATTACAAAAATTAGCCAGGTGTGGTGGTGTGCACCGCCAGTCCCAGCGAATCGGGAGGCGGAGGTGAGACGACTGCTTGAGCGCAGAAGGTCGAGGCTGCAGTCAGCCTTGATCATGCCACTGCACTCCAGCCTGAGCAACAGAACAAGACCCTGTCTCAAAAACAATACAAATTAAAATAGATTAGCCAGGCACGGTAGCAACATGCCTGTGGTCCCAGTTACTCACGAGGCTGAGGCAAGGAAGATTGCTTGAGCCCGGGAGCTCAAGGCCGCCTTGTTTGTGCCACTGGATTCCAGTTTAGGTGACAGAGTGAGACCCTGTCTCAAAAAAAAAAAAGTCGTCTCTGATTGAAAGTAACACAAGGCCAGAGACTAATTGGGGGCACAATGAACAGGCGAAGAGAAAGCACTTGAAATTTGTTCTAGGAGAAAAGTAACATGAAAAAAGTAACATTTTGCTGAAATTACGTGTAAATAAATTAGCTTTGGGCAGTTATACAAAATCTTAAAAAGAATTACTAGAAATTTTTAAAAATCATTAGTATATCTATAGTACTATCCAAAAATATATTTTAAGATAATAGTTCTTTTGGTAGAAATACTCCTAAAATGGAGACGTATATAATTCATCTTCCTCCAAAGCTGAAGAAAAAAAATAACTCCTTAAAATATTTGGCTGGGTGCAGTAGTAGCTCATGCCTGTAATCCCAACATTTGGGAGGCTGGAGTGGGAGGACTGTTTGATGCCAGGAGTTTGAGACTAGCCTGGGTAACATGGCAAAACCCTCTCTCTACCAAAAAAAAAAATACAAAAATTAGCCTGGTATGGTGGCATGCACCTGTAGTTACAGCGACTTAGGAGGCTGAGGTGGGAGGATCATTTGAGCCCAGGAGGTTGAGGCTGCAGTGAGCTGTGATCACACCACTACACACCAGCCTGGATGACAGAGCAAGACCCTGTCTCAAAAAAATTCAGTTTTATCTGATCAGAACGTCTATTCAACAACCTACAATTAAGTTTCCTGAATAAAGCTGCACAACAGAAAATGAAGTTACTATCATAACCAGTGCTGGTTCTTGGCCAGAAGTTTTAACTTCAACTTTATTTTCTTTCAGATGGGGTCTTGCTCTGTCACCCAGGTTGGAGTGCAGTGGCACAATCATGGCTCACTGCAACCTTGAACTCTCAGGCTCAAGCAATCCTCCCACACCTCAGCCTCCAGAGTAGCTGGGACCACAGGCATATGCCACCAATGCCCTGCTAATTTTTTAATTTTTTGAGGGATGGGGTCTCGCTCTGTTGCTTAGGCTTGTGTCGAACTCCTGGGCTCAAATGATCCTCTCACCTTAGCTTCCCAAACGGCTGAGATTACAGGTAAACCACAGTGCTGAGATTACAGGTAAACCACAGTGCCCGGCTAACTTCACCTTAAATGCAGAAACTGATTTCTAGCACTCATTATATGCTGTTAACTTGGGAAGCACAAACCAGCAGTTCCAAAGACATTGCTGTTATGTTTTGAGGTTTGAAAAATTAAGAGGCCCAAGACCTTGGACCCACTAACTTGGTGACTATGTAGCAGCATCTCTTTGGAGATCCTAATTTAAGCACTGTTAAAGGTATGAAATACATCAACACTTTAGATGTTTGAAATGTCTTTGTTCAGTTTGACTGGCTTTAAAATAAATTAATAAAATGTCTTTGCTTCCACAGAGGTGATAAGTCTCGCAAACACCATTCCTATGAAAAATAGGCAAGACTCCTAACCCTACCTTATGTTTTGATGTGTAGTTTAATCTTCATGGTCAATTACATCCCTTTGTCTAGATAATCACTTCTCTCCAGCCCCTCCTCCTCACCTGGCCAATATCCTACATAGTTGCTGGTTTGGAATCACCTCTGGAACCAAGTGTTTATGATGAGACATTCAACCTAAACAGATGAATTGTAAAACCAGAGGGCCTGGAACTAGTGAACAACTTTTCTTGTTCTGCGCTTCACTATGAGGATTGCTAGCTGTGTCTAATACATCACACACAGACACTGTTTTATAAGACTAACCTTGTCCCACTCCTGTTCAGAGGTCACATGCTTATCCAAAAATTCTGCCATCCCAATTCCCATTCTCTGGCAAATGTCGGCAATCACCGTTTGGTATTTCTCAGCCAGATTTCTAAACTCGAGGGAGATCTGAAATAGAAACCGTAAAAACACAGAAATCATGAAATATGTACAGACATGGCACCAAAGATCACAAGGCAAACAATGGTGGAATTAATTATCACTCTGCAGTGGTTCATCCATAAGCCTAATTTAGGTCATACACGTTTTGTTTTTGTTTGAGACGGAGTCCCGCAATGTTGCCCGGGCTGGAGTGCAATGGCGCGATCTCAGCTCACTGCAAACTCCGCCTCCCGGGTTCAAATGATTCTCCTGCCTCAGCCGCCCGAATAGCTGGGATTACAGGAATGCACCACCACGCCCAGCTAATTTTTATATTTTTAGTAGAAATGGGGTTTCACCATGCTGGCTAGGCTGGTCTCAAACTCCTGACCTCATGATCCACCAGCCTTGGCCTCCCAAACTGCTGGGATTACAGGTGTGAGCTACTGTGCCCAGCCTCATGTTTCTTATTATTCCATAAATTTTATAAATATTCTAATAGAAGGGTCTAAAAATGTTAACGTTTCTAGATTAAAAAGAAGATTCAAAGTCTCACTACACATTTCATCTTTCCAATGTATAATGAGATGCTTCAACATAAAGAAAGCTGGGTATAAGAATTTTAGGGAGAACAGCTTGTTTAGACAAACTTCATTATGAAAAAGATTCATTTGTGCAAACATGGATCAAGCACTTCCTATGTAACAAGTATCATTCTAGGCACTGGGGATGTACATCACAGACACAAACAGAAACTCAGACCCGGAGCTGCTTCCAAGATGCCCAAATAGGAACAGCTCTGGTCTACAGCTCCCAGCAAGATCAACGCAGACAACGGGTGATTTCTGCATTTCCAACTGAGGTACCTGGTTCATCTCATTTGGACTGGTTGGACAGTGGGTGCAGCCTACGGAGGGCGAGCTGAAGCAGGGCGGGGCATCGCCTCACCCGGGAAGCACAAGGGGTCAGGGGATTTCCCTTTCCTAGCCAAGGAAAGCCGTGAGTGACTGTACCTGGAGGAACAGTACACCTCTACCCAAATACTGCGCTTTTCCCACGGTCTTCACAACTGGCAGACCAGGTGATTCCCTCCAGTGCCTGGCTTGGCGGGTCCCATGCCCATGGAGCCTTGCTCGCTGCTAGTACAGCAGTCTGAGATCAAGTTGGGATGTTGGAGCTTGGCGAGGGGAGGCACGTCTGCCATTGCTGAGGCTTGAATAGGCAGTTCTATGTTCACAGTGTAAACAAAGCAGCAGGGAAGCTCAAACTGGGAGGAGTCCACCACAGCTCAGCAAGTCCTACTGCCTCTCTAGATTCCACCTCTGCGAGAAGGGCATATCTAAACAAAAGGCAGCAGACAGCTTCTGCAGACTTAAACGTCCCTGCCTGACAGCTCTGAAGACAGCAGTGGTTCTCCCAGCATGGTGTTCGAACTCCGATAATGGACAGACTGCCTCCTCAAGTGGGTCCCTGACCTCCATGTAGCCTGATTGGGAGACTCCTCCCAGTAGGGGCCAACAGACACCTCATACAGGTGGATGCCCCTCTTGGACGAAGCTTCCAGAGAAGGATCAGGCAGCAATATTTGCTGTTCTGCAGCCTCCGCTGGTGACACCCAGGCAAACAGGGTCTAGAGTGAACTTTCAGCAAACTCCAACAGACCTGCAGCTGGCGGGCCTCTCTGTTAGAAGGAAAACTAACAAACAGAAAGGAATAGTATCAACATCAACAAAAACGACATCCACACCAAAACCCCATCCACAGGTCACCAACATCAAAGACCAAAGGTAGATAAGATGGGGAGAAATCAGAGCAGAAATGCTGAAAATTCCAAAAACCAAAACACCACTTCTCCTCCAAAGGAACGGAACTCCTCACCAGCAAGGGAACAAAACTGGATGAATGAGTTTGAGGAATTGACAGAAGTAGGCTTCAGAAGGCTGGTAATAACAAACTTCTCCGAGCTAAAGGAGCACGTTCTGACCCATCACAAGGAAGCTTAAAACCTTGAAAAAAGGTTGGACAAATGGCTAACTAGAATAACCAGTGTAGAGAAGAGCTTAAATGACCTGATGGAGCTGAAAACCACAGTACGAGAACTTCGTGAAGCATAGACAAGCTTCAAGAGCTGATTTGATCAGGTGGAAGAAAGGATATCAGTGACTGAAGATCACATTAATGAAATAAAGTAAGAAGACAAGATTAGAGAGAAAAGAGTGAAAAGAAATGAACAAAGCCTTCAGGAAAATATGGGACTATGTGAAAAGACCAAATCTATATTTGATTGGTGTACCTGAATATGGTGTACCCTACATTTGATTGGTGTACCTGAATATTGGTGTACCTGAATGTGGGATTATGTGAAAAGACCAAATCTACATTTGATTGGTGTACCTGAAAGTAATGGGGAGAATGGAACCAAGTTAGAAAACATTCCTCACAATATTATCCAGGCCTAGCGAGGCAGGCCAACATTCAAATTCAGGAAATACAGAGAACACCACAAAGATACTCCTTGAGAAGAGCAGTCCCAAGATACATAATTGTCAGATTCACCAAGGTTGAAATGAAGGAAAAAATGTTAAAGGCAGCCATAGAGAAAGGTCGGGTTACCCACAAAGGGAAGCCCATCAGACTAACAGCAGATCTCTCGGCAGAAACCCTACCAGCCAGAAGAGGGTGGGGGCCAATATTCAACACTGTTAAAAGAATTTTCAACCCACAATCTCACATCCAGCCAAACTAAGCTTCATAAGTGAAGGACAAATAAAATCCTTTACAGACAAACAAATGCTCAGAGAGTTTGTCACCACCAGGCCTGCCTTACAAGAGCTCCTGAAGGAAGCACTAAACATGGAAAGGAACAACCAGCACCAGCCACTGCAAAAACATGCCAAATTGTAAAGACCATCAACACTATGAAGAAACTGCATCAATTAATGGGCAAAATAACCAGCTACCATCATAATGACAAGATCAAATTCAAACATAACAATATTACCTTAAATGTAAATGGGCTAAGTGCCCCAATTAAAAGACACAGATTGGCAAACTGGATAAAGAGTCAAGACCCATCAGTGTGTTGTATTCAGGAGACCTATCTCACGTGCAAAGACACAAACAGACTCAAAATAAACGGATGGAGGAAGATCTACCAAGCAAATGGAAAGCAAAAGAAAAGTATCCTAGACTCTGATAAAACAGACTTTAAATCAACAAAGATCAAAAGAGACAAAGGTCACTACATAATGGTAAAGAGATAAATTCAACAAGAAGAGCTATCCTAAATATATATGCACCCAATACAGGAGCACCCAGATTCATAAAGCAAGTCCTTAGAGACCTACAAAGAGACTTAGGCTCCCACACAATAATAATGGGAGACTTTAGCACTCCACTGTCAATATCAGACAACAGATCAATGAGACAGAAGGTTAACAGGGATATCCAAGACTTGAACTCAGCTCTGGACCAAGCGGATCTAACAGACATCTACAGAACTCTCCACCCCATATCAATAGAATATACATTCTTCTCAGCACCACATTATACTTATTCTAAAATTGACCACATAATTGGAAGTAAAACACTCCTCAGTAAATGTAAAAGAACAGAAATTATAACAAACTGTCTCTCAGACCACAGTGCAACCAAATTAGAACTTAGGATTAATAAACTCACTCAAAACCACACATCTACAAGGAAACTGAACAACCTGCTGCTGAATGACTACTGGGTAAATAACGAAATGAAGGCAGAAATAAAGATGTTCTTTGAAACCGATGAGAACAAAGACACAACATACCAGAATGTCTGGGACACATTTAAAGCAGTGTGGAGAGGGAAATTTATAGCACTAAATGCCCGCAAGAGAAAGCAAGAAAGATCTAAAATCGACACCCTAACATCACAATTAAAAGAATTAGAGAAGCAAGAGCAAACACATTGAAGAGTCAGCAGAAGGCAAGAAATAACTAAGATCAGAGTAGAACTGAAGGAGATACAGACACAAAAAACCCTTCAAAAAAATCAATGAATCCAGAAGCTGGTTTTTTGAAAAGATCAACAAAATTGATAGACTGCTAGCAAGACTAATAAAGAAAAAGAGAAGAATCAAATAGACGTAATAAAAAATGATAAAGGGGATATCACCACCGATCCCACAGAAATACAAACTACGATCAGAGAATACTATAAACACCTCTACATAAATAAACTAGAAAATCTAGAAGAAATGGAGAAATTCCTGGACACGTACACCCTTCCAAGACTAAACCAGGAAGAGGTTGAATCTCTGAATAGACCAATAACAGGTTCTGAAATTGAGGCAATAATTAATAGCCTACCAACCAAAGAAAGTCCAGGACCAGACAGATTCACAGCCAAATTCTACCAGAGGTACAAAGAGGAGCTGGTACCATTCCTTCTGAAACTATTCCAATCAAAAGAAAAAGAGGGACTCCTCCCTAACTCATTTTATGAGGCCAGCATCATCCTAATACCAAAGCCTGGCAGAGACACAACAAAAAAAGAGAATTTTAGGCCAATATCCCTGATGAACATTAATGCGAAAATCCCAATAAAATACTGGCAAATCGAATCCAGCAGCGCATCAAAAAGCTTATCCACCCCAATCAAGTCAGCTTCATCCCTGGGATGTAAGATTGGTTCAATACATGCAAATCAAAAAACGTAATCCATCACATAAACAGAACCAATGACAACAACCACATGATTATCTCAATAGACGCAGAAAAGGCCTTTGACAAAATTGAACAGTCTTTCATGCTAAAAACTCTCAATAAACTAGGTATTGATGGAACGTATCTCAAAATAACAAGGGCGATTTATGACAAACCCACAGCCAATATCATACTGAATGGGCAAAAACTGGAAGCATTCCCTTTGAAAACCTGCACAAGACAAGGATGCCCTCTCTCACCACTCCTATTCAACACAGTAATGGAAGTTCTGGCCAGGGCAATCAGGCAAGAGAAAGAAACACAGGGCATTCAGTTAGGAAAAGA